GAGTGATTGACTGTTTTATGTATGAAACCATGCTGGCTTAGGCTTCCGTATGCTTTCCACTCATCGGACCAAATTTCTGTTCCTGGATTGATGTGTTTCTGTATGATCGGGAGCAAGGTACGTCTGTCCCTCTTTGGTACTAGCAGGAGGCGCAATTCAGTTACACCATCATGGTGCCAGGCCATTCCGAAAACCCAGGGTCCAGCGACAGCATCCCCATGATTTTGGCATGCGGGAGGAACGGCATTCCCTTGTAGAATTATTCCTTTGTTGTTCTTCCTCCTCGCTCTGAAATTTTAGTCACATGCCGCTAAAGTTCAGGAAATGCAGGAGGGCACGGAAACAAAGGCAAAATAATCTCACCTACTTTCATCTATTTGGATTATTTCTCCTGGCCCTCCCATGGGTACCGCCGCCTCGAACGCCTTTTTACATATTTCTCGGCAGAAATGCCTCCAATAAACAAAAGTTTCCCTGCGAAGGGCGCTCAGACCCCCCCACCATTGCCCGCTAACATTGTTTTATGGTGAGGTCGAGCGTCCAAGTCCATAGGAGGGCCAATATGACATGGATTTGGAGTTTTGTGCAGGGTCTCCCCAGACGATCCTTGAAAGCTAAGAAGGTACCTCCCTCCCGTTGTCCTCCTTGCCCTTGCTGTTCCAAAACCATAGGCCCGCCTCTCGCACTCCAATAAGACCTACATATAGTACAACGAACAACGGGGTACGTTTTCCCACGAGACGTCACGTTCCCGTCCCGTAGCCTTCCCCTGCAATCTCGTTTCCTGCAAGGAACTTCTTGCCGTGCTGAAGCAAGTGGCAAAAGCCCCTCTCGGTGTGAAAATTCGATAGCGGTCTCTTCATTCAAGTTGATTCCCGCCAGCTCAAAAATACCATCACAGCACACCTTTTCCAAAACAACAGGTAAGCAATGGGAAAAAAGTGATACTATAGGAACTTTGGCAACTTACCCATCCTCTGCAATTCTTGCGTAAGGTGGTTGATGTAGAAAACAGGAATGGCAAGAATTACGCGACAAGGCTTCCCTTTTATGTGGTAGGTCGTTCTGTGTGACCTGGGGTTCTTATCAGAACTGCACTTTCACCGAGGGGAAAATCTTCCCTGTGACCTGCTACCCCTTCCTCATACCCGTGATGCGCATTGATGTAATACGCAGATTTACAGATAAAAACTTGTGTTGCATGCCATATTGTATTTTTTGAGGGGATGGAAACGTCACGCCTCTTTGGGAGCAATAGCTCTGGATTTTTGCACCTTAGGTGTGGCATATTGAAGTATGATTCGGCAGTCGTCCGATTTTCGGTCAAGAAGTGCTTTGAGTAGTCCTGCTAATCGTGGAACTTGAGTCTGGAAGTGAGATTCCTTGTTATTTCCGTTCCCCAAAATATTTCCCCCCTATTCCTATTTCCCTATTTCCCCAATTTTCTGCTATCCCATAAATTATCAATCATATGCATTTTTTTAACCTTCCCTTAACAGGGAAGGTTAAACTGGCGGTCCACCAGTCATTTTTTCTGGTCCGCGAAGTCCTCTTCGACATTCGGTTACGGAAAATCACTGCAAATTTCAGCCCGTCTGCATGAAATATTAGATATTAGCCTTTTATTGTGGCCCCTTATCACCTCCATAGCGTTACAAATAAAATCGACCGGTTAAGATAGTACTTCCAATCTCTATTTGTTCGAATTGGACGATCGAAAAAGACGATCCCACACCATCCATATAGAATGAACATGTGACCTATCTGCTTTTAGTCAGAACAACCGTTCAACCTCGGATCTGGTCATCCTATGCAGTGAGCGTCTCGCACTACTGAAGTGCCAGAGTTTGCCATAGGGTGGTTTTTCGAGTCTCATGATCGGTTTGGGGACACCCGGCACAAAAATTCATGTCATTCTGGCTCTCCTATGGACTTGGTCGCTCGACCTCACTATCAATGTTCTGAGCGCCCTTCGCGGGGAAACGTAGGGAAGAGAAGCATAAGACGAGCAGACGACGGGGACCCTAACGTGAAACTAGCATGGCGCTGCTCATGCATCCC